CTGCGATCTAATGGGGCGTTCCACTGGAGTAAGCAGGGTTTCATACATCTGATGGTAGTCGTTGATCATTTTTCCAAATGGGTGGAGTTGTTTCCGCTGCTGAAAAAGACAGCGCGAGCGGTGCTAGAGAGGCTACAGGAAGTGTTTTGTCGGTTTGGTTTTCCGGAAAGATTGATCACGGACAACGCGTCGTATGTCACCGCTCGGGTGTTTGGTGATAGGTGCCGTTCCCTAAGAACAGATCACTGCACCACTTCGCCCTACCATCCCCAGTCCAATTTGACAGAGCGAACAAATCGTACGCTCAAACCGATGGGCGGCCTTTGCCGAAAATCAAAAGGACTTGGCAGACCATTTGAGTGAACTCGCGTTTGCAATCCTAACCTCCGAGAGTCGCTCTACTGGTTTCTCTCCCGCCTTCCTTAATTTCGGAAGGGATTTGGCAAATCTGGTGACCAGTGTCATGCAATGCCAGCTCGGGGACGAGGAAGAACCGGCAGACTGTTCTGCTTACACTTCAATACTTCGGGACAGGCTTTGTCGAGCTCTCAGTAAAGCGAGGTAGAGTTTGGCATCGGCCAGGGCCGAGCAAAAGGCCTAGTACGACCGAAAACGTCACCACGTTTCATTTAAGGTAGGTGACCTTGTCCTGAAGCGCAACCACGCTCTTTAAGACGCGAGCAAGGGTTTCTCAGCTTCGCTCGCTCCTAAGTGGCTTGGTCCGTACCGAGTAGAGAAAGCTTGGACTCCACTCGCGTACTTGCTGAAAGACCCGCTTTCGGGAAAACAGCCGTGCCCACATCGCAGACTTGAAAGCCTTTGCATCGAGGAAAGCCTTTGCGACGAGCCTGCGCCCAGTGGCTATTCGTGCGAGCAATGGCGCACACCCGGCGCGGCGGACCCCATTCGGACCACGCACCGGTGTAATCTGAGGAAGCGGTCACCTGAGTAATTTCGCGCCGGACGGCGGGCTTAATTCCGCAACCGAAGGCCTTCAGTTTTACTGTCTAGTATCAGTTAGCTAACTTCTTTACAGCCAGTGCTTGCAAAGAAGTCGTCTCCGCCCAGTTGCTGCTGATTTTCATTTGAGTGTTCTTGTTTACTTGACGTTTTTTTCGTGTTTACTTTTTTTTCGCCTCGCCGGAGGAGGGGATCTTGAATTGGTGCTTTAGCGTGAGGAGAGGGACAAAGGACACTTTGCACATTCCTTTGCGGCGCGCGTTTGGAGAGACCCGACCATCGGAGGTGTGTGTGCGTGTGTACGTGCGTGTGGCGACGAAAACTTAGGAAGCCACCGACCCCTACATCATCTTGGACTCTGGCAGTGTTCGGAGACCTGCGCTCGTTAGGCAGCCCGGTTGTGCCCTGCTCCCGACCGTCGCTGATAAGCTCTTCTGGCCTTCCTATCACGGCTCCTGCACGAGGCTAGCTGTCGCAGACGCTGTGCACGACTCGACCGACGCCAGGACGCCTCGCAGCCAGTAGATTTGGCGACCATGGTTCCAGCAGAAGGGCCAGCTGTGGCAACGGGGCCCATCGAACATCCACCGAGGCGGCGTTCGTCAGACTCGCGGGCCTGTCGTCAACATCGACGAGATGATGGTGAGCCCGTTCCTCGCATGAGGGCCTCAACCAGAACTCTCGACTTGCTCTCTCGCATCCACCCAGTCACTCAAACCAAACATTACGTGACACTTCCCCTCCGAGCCGTGGACGCTCTCTTGCGTGAGCACCATGAACTCCCGTTACCCCTCTTCCGCGGCGCCATGGTATTTCTCAAGTGGATAGTTGTGTTGTTATATTTTTTTCTTCAGCAGCAATTGCAGAGCGAGGCTAAGGCTAGCTGTTGCCCATTGCGGGACGTCTTTGCAAGCATGGGCGATGACCGGCTGCCTTTGCAGACGGGTATATATGGTGAATTAAGGAGAGGAGGATGTGGGGATCTGAGGTGCGCCCGCGACCAATTCGCGGGCATTCTGCCGCCACACGGCCACACCCTTTTGCTTTTTCTGCTCTGGCAACGGCGCGTGGCGATAGATGGCGCCACGTGTGGGCGCGGCACGCGTTACGTGCGCGCCGAGGAAGCTCGCTCTCCTCCGTGGTCGGCGCCGGGTAAGCACGTGTTTTCCTTCGTCTGCGTTCCCTTCGGGAATCACCGGACTGTAACCTGCCTGGGGTGACCTTTGGCACCTCGGCAGGCGTGTTTACTTGAGTGCTAGCTTCGGTACCGTACGCTAAGCCCACAGCGGTGCCTAGTGCTTGAAGTGGTCGTACCACACCGAGCCGCACTTGTCGTAGGCTTACGCGTACGAGGTTTGCCCTAACACTCGCGACCAGGCCCAGTGGCCATCGTGAGAGTGCGCAGCATAGCCGCGAGGGACATTTTCCCGACCGGCGTGTCAAAGCTCGCCATTGCCAGCTGCGACGTGCTCGCGGTTTGCCCTTATTGTGAACGTCCGCGTGCGGGTGCCTTTGCTCCCCGCGTCCCGGAAGCGGATGTTGTACTGTTTTTCGGAGTGCCACCAAGGGCAATAAAGTGTTGTGTATTTTTGTATTGGAACACTGTCTGTTTTGCCGCGCCGCGCTAAACTCCTTATTAGTTGAGCGTGCGCGGAGTGGTGCACTACACGCGAGTAGGTGGCGGAGTCGCGGCCCTGTGGCTCGCTAAGCGTGAACCCACGGTGATCATTCGCTGCAGTTGGTAGCGGGGTCACCATATGCTTAGAGTTACTTGTGTGTGACTCTTCTAGTATAAAGGTAGACATGCAAAACTTCGAAGTGTTGTTATTGTGCCTCAGATATGCACAATAATTCTTTTTAATTGACAATCGCACAACTGTGAACGCTAAAACTTGAGCAATATTGGTGGGCGCTGCGAAAGGGGTTTGCCGTTCAATACCGTTTGAGGTATCGTTAGGGCGGACAAACAGACAAATGTACAGACAGACAGACGAAAATGTTTCTGTCGAAGGTCCCCAAGAAAGACTATCGTCTTCAAAAAGAGAAGAGCCCACGTGCCCTCCGCAGGCGACAGTTTATGGTGGTGGCTTCCGGGACACCAACAGCTTCTTCCGGAGGCTTCAACCCTGCGCGCTCGATGTGCTATCCAGCTGTCTGTCTATTTGTCTGTTCACCCGTCCGTCCGTCCGTCCATCCGTCCGTCGGTTTGTCTGTTCGTCCGTCCCTCCGTTCATATATCCGTCTATCCATACGTCTGTCTGTCTGTGTGTCTGTCCATGCGTGCGTCCATCTTTTGAACACTCCAAGTACCACCATCTCGTATCTTTTCATCATATATTCATCCTATAAAAGTAACGTCATCTAGCGGACATTCCGAGAACTAAGCGAGAGGTGCCTGCCTACAACTCAAACATCAAGAACGCACGACCCATGGCTTATGGAGCTTCACCCCAAAAATTCGCAGTGTGCGCATTAACAAAAAGCTGTGGGTCGCAGTTTGCAATCAGCATCTTCTGCTTTTCGTTGTTCATTAGCAGCGATTAGCACGCACCACTATGAAACACCAGTTATTCACTGCGTTCTTGGCGCCTTCACAGGTCTCTATCTTGGGTAACGCTGCGATGACAGCCAGCGTCAAGGTCGCCTCAAGTGTAAGCGTTAGCGCCCGCTATTTCGCTTATACACAAGGTTCCGTTTGGCGGGAGATTGTGTCATTTTTTAGAGGCAAAGGCGTGGTCGTCCACCCTCTATGTATGTAGTAGCAGTGTAACCACCTCTCGTGTAGTCCTTAGATGGCCCGCTGGATGGCGGTACTTGTATACGATGAATATATGATGAAAAAATGTGAGATGGTGGTATTTGGAGTGTTCAATAGATGAACGGAAGGACGGACGAACAGACAGGCAGACAGACAGACTGACAGACAGACAGACAGGCAGGCAGGCAGACAGACGGATGAACGAACCAACGGACGGACAGAGAGACTGACAGACAGGCAGGTAAACATACAGACGGATCAACGGATGAACGAACAGACAGACAGACCGACAGAAAGACAGGCAGACAAGAAGACAGACAGACAGAAGGGCGGACAGACGCACGGAAGGACTGACGGACGCTTCGCCTCACTGATCATCATTCACTCCGTGGGTATGCTGTGATTTTTTTCCCTCCTCCAGGGTTTCAGGTCACGAATGGAGGGACAGATAGACGGGCTGACGGGGGACGTGAGCATGATACATTAATTGACTTTGTCTTATACACTTTTATTGTGTATTGTCGTGTTTAAATGGATACCCTTTAACAAACATGATATAATTTTATCAGGCCTTGGATGCACGAAAACAATGAAAACATTAAAATTACCTATCAAAACTCATCAGCTTAAAATGTATGTCGTAAGAGCTTCTAAGTCGAGGCAACTTGCGATAATGTTACTCGTGTGAAATACCTGTAAATAAGCAAAATTGTACTCTCAGCTGTTATCAAGAATATTAGTTTTTTATCTGAAACGCATTGTTTAGAAAGAACACTATGCTTGGAGAAAGCTAACAGACTAACCAAAATTTAGGTGATTGTGTAAATTTGATGGGATAACACAAAGCCTCACCATGACTGGCAAGAAGTTTGCTCATGATATTCAAATCATACTTCTCATCTATTCATTAAGCCAAATGATTGCTGTAGCTGTACAAGGTTCATATCAAGACAATAGGTTTTCATCCGACAATTAAAAAGTGTGTTACTAATAACCATGTGGATCTAAAAAAAACAGAAAAAAAACTGGACGCTCACGGCTGCAATACAGGCCGTTAATTCTTACCTACTGATAGAAGAAGCGGTTACCCGTTGTTAATTGGGTCTGCATTTTCTAATGGGCAAAAGCTGTCATTGAGGCCATCTCGCGTTAACATAGCCTAAAAGGTGATTTTGCATAAATTGTGTTAACGTACCTTATCAATTATCTTCGGGAAATTGTCTATAAAAGAGAAACCGTACCAATATTGGAATTCATTATTTATCAAGAGATAAGCCGTAAACTCTGCTTGCAAAGCGACTACGACTATTGTCACTACTACTTGGTCCCAATGACTGCGATGTCTGCTACAAAATCATTTGCGTAAGTTGTATTCCAAGTCCAACCTCTACGTTACATTTATGTGACACCATCACCGCCAGAGTCATCGCGTCTTAGCACAGCAACTCGAAGTTGAACACTCGATGTCGCTGTCGCCTTCATGTTGAACGTAAAGTCACTCCTATAGAATCGATTCCCGTGTCGTATGTTGTATGTGCAAGTGGATTGTTTGTGCAACCTGGTTGGCACTCTACATAGCACGAAGGTGTTTGGAGAGATGCCAGGGGGGCGGGGGTTCTACCCCGTGCTGGCAACAGCTGCAAAACAGGGCTGGTCGTGGGCCTTCGTGTGCCCGCTTTGTTGAAGGAAATAATTAGGCAAGTGGCACTACCTACATGCTATGCTCTCACCGCAAACTTACCGTTATAACTATTGACAAGACGAAATGGCTTGACTCGCTTGAGGAATTGTGTTTTGTGGAGCTAGCATTCCAAGAGATTATATTAGTTACAATTCTAAAGCATGACCGTGGTTAGCCTAGCTCGTTTGGTGTTCCAATTTTTCGCTATTTAAATAAGTGTACCAACTCCACCACAACAGTGTGCCTTTTCGGCGCTTTAAAAATGCATGTTCATTTGATTTTCACATTGACATTGCTCATCTTTTTCTACATTTTTAGTGTGATTGAAAGTACAGTTTCTTGATACTTCAGTCTCTATTCACTGCTGAGTGTATCTGTATTCACGAAAACTTATATCCACCCCTCTTCTATCTAGCTTACGACTTAGGTTGGCTAGTGTGCCCATGCGAAAGCTCACGTGCAAACACTCCGGTCTTATTTCACTGAACTTATTCACAACCACACCCATAAAAATAGTGGGTTATCATGAGCATTCAGCTCAATATGTCGGCAAAATTGTACATAAGCAGCTAAAAACAGCGCTGTCATAACTTGAAGTCAGCAAATGTGATTTGAACGCTCAATCATTGTGTCTGAAAGTAAGCTTTACTGGAAGGCTGCTTTCGTTTTTCATTTGAGCACAGAATTTTGAAGGGAACACGTCACATAGGCTTCAAATGAGTAGCTTTTAGATGCGACGAAGCTTATGGCAGAGTTAATTTCAGTGGTGTGTGGGGGGACCACCCTTACTGCACATGCGCAATGGCTGGCGCAAGCTATGCCCAAAAACTGCGAGAACGTGCTCGTGCGTTAGCGCATTCTGGTCTGTGCAGGGGGTTGGGTAAGACGCTGCGCCCTGTGCCCCTTACGCTCACTCAGAAATGATGTGATTGCGTCGCGGAACGAGATCCTGGAGCAACGCCTCCTAGAAAAACTATGCCTTGAACGTGGCTCTCTCTTCAATTCAGAGTTTGCTGGCAGCACAAAATCTTCATGGCCATGCCTCCTACCACGTGTTGCGACCATCTGCTGCGTGGGACCGCTCACCTCCGTTATGGTGGCTAGAAGGCCACCATACCTCCGTACCACTCTGTCACGTGACATCACAGCTGCTCGGAGGCAACTGTGAGAGCATTGCTGCGTTCGCAAGGGGGCGACCGCCACAGGCGTTCGCCACCGTACCGGAGGTGGAGGGTAAAATCTGAGGGTAGGGTGGCACGTTCGCGGCTCACGTTTCAGGCATAATTTTTCTATGAGGCGTTGCCTGGAGACGTGCGATGAGCGCACGTGTTGTCGCGTGGAGGGGCGACGAACCACCATGGCGTGCTCTAACAAGATTTCGGGACGAGTAACAGCAACAGAAACTACAGTGAATCCGTGGTGAGCTCCCAGTTGCAAGGACGCATTGACATCAGGCAAAGTGCTCGTGATAAACAGAAATTTGAGTCGGACTATGCTCTGAAGAATAATAATTGTAGTGGTTAACGTCCGAAAACCAACATATGAATATGAGAGACGCCGTAGCGGAGGGATCCGGCAATTTCGTCCAACTAGGGTTCGTTAACGTGCACCTAAATCTAAGCACACATACCTGAAACATTCTCACCTCCATCAATGATGCGGTTGCCACGGCCGGCATTTGAAACCTATGGGTCAGCACCCATGTGCTGCTTTACACGATATTCATGGTTGCCTTTAGTAAGAGATGGCGTATTTTTTATTTCGTAGCAATGGCAGGTACATAGAAATTTCCGCAGCAATTTTACCGTAAGGCTATGTTGTGACGGCGGTGTTCTCTGGGAAGTCCAAATAAATGATATGACCCGTCATGTCGTATGCTCTGTGTGCGAGTTAAGGCGCATCAAAGCTTCCATCGAGCACTGCTCATGCCGATAGGAAACGACCCAAACATTTCTGTATACACGAAAATGAATAGGCATACTAGCTCGAGTGCAAGCTGCATCCTTCCTGAAGATGGTGCTTTGACTTAGAGGGGCTGGTCGCCAGTAGTCGGGCGCGTATCCTTAGAGGCAATCAGCATACAATGAATGCCGTTGTGCGTGTTGAGTTTTTTCCCTAAGACTACTGTTGAAGCCATTGTTATAAGCAAAATAAAAAATAGCTTGCGAGAGCTGCAGGTTTTTGTTTCAGCCTCTTTTCCAGTTACCCCTGGTCGGACACTAAAATAGTGAGCTCTGTAGCGAAACCATGAGTTGACTGCACAACTCTTGCCTGCTAGTTCGTGCTACAAAAAAAAAATAAGGAAAGAAGGAAAATTTTAAAGGCTCGTCTTCCTTTATATGTTGAACGCTACAATATAATTAATCAGTAAAGAGTCATATGAAGATGAAACAAGCGTAAAAGCTACACGAAGGCCCCGTCGTGGTGGTCTAGTGGCTACGGTACTCGGCTGCTGACCCGGAGGTCACGGGATCAAGTCCCGACGGCGGCGGCTGCATTTCTGATGAAGGCGGAATTGCTGTAGGCCCATGTGCTCAAATTTGGGTGCACGTTAAAGAACTCCAGGTGGTCGAAATTTCCGGAGCCCTCCGCTACGGCGTCTCTCATAATCATAGGGTGGTTTTGGGACGTTAGGCCCCACATATTAATTTATGAAAATTGAACCATGCGAAGACAGCAAAAAACAACAACGCAAAAGCGCTGGCCATGCAACAGTATGTTTATACGTTGATTTCATCTTCCTATTACTATGAACCAACTGGCACACAAAACTACACGAGAGACACTGACGCCGAGCAAAGTAAAGGGGATTTTGTTTGTTCTAATAGCAATGCAAATGACAGGAAACAAAATGAACGAGTAGACCATTTGCTATAGTATACGACCGGAGCATACTACCTGAAGATGTGAAGGTAGTATGCAGTATTCCTTCAGGTAGTCTACGAAGGCTTATTTGTCATCTGTCAGCTCGCATTAAAATAACATGTTACATGATGCGCTGGCAGAGAAAAAGAGTGTTCCACACTCTCCACCGTGCATACTAGCGGCTCCATATCTGAAATCTTACTGAATAAATCACTTAGGAAAAAGAAAACCTTAAGGCTACTATTTTTGTTAGGCACAATAATATGGAGTACTAACAGATAATATGATGCAAGAAAAATATAAAGGTGGTCGTTAGTACTCTTTGTAAAATAAATTTGAATAACAAAAGGTCGACGATAATTTTAATTTGCTACGGCGCAGGCTAAATCTGCGACCTTCAAGTAACACGCCTGATGTTTTACCAACTGAGCAAGAGTGGCCCAAACCCATTTTTCGTTCCCTATTTTGTTTGCACATTCTTTTTAACCTCCATCTCTCTTTCCTGTCAGAGGATACCTTCTTGAGAGCTGAGAAGCCAATTTTTTGCTTTTATAATGAATAGATACAGCACTAGATATATATAATTGTAACTTTATTACACGTACCCGAAAACTCGCCAAACAATTTCTTGATGGCATAGCGTAGCACGTTAGTAGCGAAACCGGTCTTGTGTGTGTTGTGCCTACTTAAGGCTAAGGGAACAAAATGCGGTAAAACAATTCTAAATAGTGACTAGTTCTTTTGGGTAGGAGCACCGTAGAACCTAGCTTTGTCGTCGAATATCACTGCCCGCTGCCATGGTATATAAAACCTCTACAGTCTAACGACAAGTATGTTGCAATTACCATCCCGATAATAGTCCCAGGTAAGTATGATGCAGTACTCGAAACACAACAAATTTCACATTGAATAACAATTAATGGCATTATGTTTGAGAAATCTACACATTACACTATCACAATTTAGAAATATGTGCACAGTATTACAGGGAAGTTGTTGTGTCTGGTAGTTTGTCTTAAAACCATGAAGAAATGTTTTCGTTAGAGTTCGAGCCAACTATAGAAATCTGCTGTATTTCCTTCTCTAAACAAAACACACGTGTGTTGCGACTATGATTATGAAACGAAGTACAAGAACAAAACCTTTGTACAAGTCGACAATTTTAACACAGCATTATGGACAGACAAGATTACAGTTATATCTTGATATGCCCTATGACGGACTTCGTATTAGTGTAAACAACCAACAACCAATCAAGGAACATCATGCATAGGCCTTGCATGTGATAGCTTTAGATTAGCTACACTCGAAAAACGCCAGACAATACGTAAATAGTGACCAGAGGACAGAAATAGAGAAGCGCTAACGAAGAATCAAATAGATACGCGATATCATCATCATCATCATCATCATCATCATCGTCATCATCATCATCCTGACTACGTCCACTGGAGGACAAAGGCCTCTCCCATGTTCCGCCAGTTAACCCGGTCCTGTGCTTGCTGCTGCCAATTTATACCCGCAAACTTCTTAATCTCATCTGCCCACCTAACCTTCTGTCTCCCCCTAACCCGCTTCCCTACTCTGGGAATCCAGTTAGTTACCCTTAATGACCAGCGGTTATTCTGTCTACGCGCTACATGCCCGGCCCATGTCCATTTCCTCTTCTTTATTTCAACTATGATATCCTTAACCCCCGTTTGTCGCCTAATCCACTCTGCTCTCTTCTTGTCTCTTAAGGGGTCACCTACCATTTTTCTTTTCATTGCTCGCTGCGTCGTCCTCAATTTAAGCTGAACCCTCTTTGTAAGTCTCC